TATTCAGTTAACTGCACTGTACAGCACATTTAACATATTGACATGTGTTGCTTTCCCTATAGCACAATTTTTATAATGTGCAAACTGGAAATTTTAAATAAAGCTTAATAAACAACCATTTCTACAGCTTGAATATACTGTAAATGATACACGATAGACGGAATTCCTGTTCCAGTGACATCTGAAACAGAGTTCATCATTATACTCTATACTGTGTCATTTCAAGCTACATTGTGTTTATTCTCCAATTAATTTTGCTTTGAATTAACAATGTAGATATTTCCTGAAGATGTACGTATAGTACATTACAGTATTATTAAAATCTATCATTACTTCTCTTCAGTAAGGTTGGAGACTATTTTTTTCTTGGCTTTTAATGCAGAACTTTCATGGTGCACTGTAGGACATTTTAATCCTCCCTAACAAGACAGAGTCGCCTTAATCCTATTACAGGCTTGCTGATAAAACTACTGTGCAACATAAGGCACATAATACTGTAATGGCTAAGTCGGGAGAGAGCATAATTCTGAAATTACTTTAAATGCAGTTAGACCACCAAAGGTCACGAGACCAAAAAGTAATAATTTTGTCACTTCCTTGGGATGAATTACAAAATTATTTTATGAAATACAACTTTTCATGAATTATGCTGCTTTGAAGTATCCCTGAATCTTTTAATTTTAAAAACGTTGATAGTTACATTAAATTCATTTTAAATTGGTCACACACTTACTGTACTCTTAATAATTGAAGGATAAATGAAGGGCTTCAATCAATAATTCTGTGACTGTTTCCTCAGTGCCAAATCTAGTATCACGCATCTGCAGCAGAAAGACAACCAGCAAAGCAAAGGTAGCTGTCTTTTACACAAGATTGATAATACCACCATTGTGACAATGACTCATCCTTGCTGAGCAAGTTATTGTTTTCTAGGTTCAATAGGGTGACATTTAGAATTGGGAGGTGTACTTTGACTTTTTTATTTATTTCCATTCATAAGCTACAGTACCATTCTTTGCATCAAAAGTATGGATTCCCTATAGCCTTTTCAAGAGGCAGATAAAGTGAAGGTTGTTTGAATTTGTATGACAAATCACAAGCAGGTGTGTATCTGGTGCTCTTTTTAGCCTTATAGCTTTGCCTTCACTCACAAAGGATGTAATAAAATGCAGCTGTTGCTAATATATACAAAAACTGTAGTTTATAATTATATTGATCTTTGAGTTTACAGACATTTTGAAAGGATCCCATTAAAAAAGTGTTTTGGTGCAGTAGTCTGGCATATGAAATGCAAGATGGAATTCATTTTAGTGCTTAACTGTGCATTACCCTCTGAACTCACATTTTCTTTTATGAGTACACATGATGATGCAAGTCAGATGTCAGTGAAACCCAGTCTTCAGTATGTTGAAACCTGCAGTAAATCTTACAAGTATAATCGGATATAATTATACAAAGATGGCTTAAAGTTCGGTATGTACATATATGGATGGAATTTTAAATGTGTTTCAAGTCATACACATTTATGAATGAAGGACTCTATGCTGAGTCCTCTCTTGTAACTCTCTTGATGATAAAATACAAAAAATTGCAATTTACATTGTATCAGTTTCTGCCTTGGTTTACTAGCATATCATTCAGCTGCCAGATACATGAGTTTTCAAAATAAACCTTTTACAGCAAAATAATACGTTACGCTTAAAGATCCTTGTACTGCTGCACTCCAGTAAAGGTATATGGAGCTGATAGAAATGGGGAAGCACAACATGCTCAGATTGTTTAAAACCATGCTTTAACTGTCTTAATCCCTTTACAAAGATTAATCCATTTAGTATTGATGTTTGATTTTAGTCTCCAATACAATTATACTTCCAATTTTGTAACATGAGTAAATGCAAATCCACCAGTGAAATGAACTCAAATGATAAAAAAGCTGTAGGAAATTGCATTTTGTGTTTCTTCTGAATTAGTGACACAGAAAATAATAAAGTTTTTGGCAAAGCCATACTGCCCATTGAATTAAATTAAAATTGCTAATATCTGAATTGAAAATATTAATGCAACGCATGTTTGATATTTGTTACGTTTTGGAAATCACCTGCAATGTAAGGTAATAGCTAAGCAGGACTGAGACACAAAGCAATGGCAGAGCTACTTCCATTATCAAGATACAAGTCATGCAAAACAGTGTACAAATGTAACAAACACAGAATCCCACTGAGACTGATTCTGGCAAAAAAGTGAATTGACTCTTTTCCTGGCTTGTCAATTATTCAATTACTAGTCAAGAACAAGCCCTTTGACCTTTCTGTTTTTTGTTGGATATTTGAGTTACACAAAAGGGGAAAAGGGAACACAGACTGTATTATTACAGAGACAAGTCAAAAACCAAGCTGCTGAAGAAAGGAAAGCTGTTTGAAAAAAAGCTGGGTAATCATCAAATTAGCTATCTCTGCTAGTCTAGCGACTAGTAGCAAATAAAGAGCTTAGCACAGATGTTAAGCATGCAGAGATTTTAACCCATGCACAAAAACAAATTATTTTGAAATGTTAAAGAATTTCAAGATTTCAAGATAATGAAAGAAATAGAGTTAAGGTCTACTTTTTTTTTTACTCAAACCAAAATCTCCAGTTGCTTTTGTAAATCTTTTTTGTTTGTGTGTTTAGTTCAATAAATAAATGATCAAGACAATATTCTCCTCACTGAGAATGATGGAAATTTATATATATATTTTACTTTTTGTTAATAAAAATAGTCTAACCGGTTTACGTCATCTCATTTCTTTTTTGTTTTTCCTAAAAGTCTGTTCTGCTGCCAGATGGCTGACCATATAAAATAAAAGTTTTACAAGAAAATAGTACCTTTGCCTCGGTAGTGCAGTGCCTAAATGGTGTCAGAATGAGCTGCAGACCTTCTAATTGGCATTGGGCTGATTAAATATGGGGCTGATAGGAATGGGAAAATACAACGTGCTTACTTGCTGGGATTGTTTTCATTCTTAAACTGTCTTAATCGCTTTACAAAGTGTAACCGTATCAGTACAAATGTTTGATTTTATTCTTGGATACTGTCGTACTACCACTTGTGTGAAATGCACAAATGATAATCTACTGACAAAGTGACTTAATAATGTTATAGAAAAACTTTTAATTTGGTGTTTGTCTAAAACAAAATTCAAAAAACAAAATCACAAAGCAGTGGAAAAGCCATACTGCCACTTAAACTAAAGGAAACAATAACAGAAAAACATAAAAATATAATAATTTCACATACTTAAAGTTTGGAATATAATTTGCAATGTCAGCCAAGAAAAACTAGGCAGTGCTCAGACATGAGGCACTGACTGACTTAATTCCATTATGAAGATACAAAAGATAGGAAACAGAATACAAATGTTACAAACACAGAACCCCAAGAGACTGAGTCATTCCCTGCCTTTGCAATTATTCAATTACAAGTCATTCAGTGATCCTTTGACCCTTACGGTCAAGATACATTTTTTTGTACTCAAACCAAATCCCCCTGTTGTATTTGTAAAATTTGTTATAGAGTGTAATGCATGGTCTAGAAAGATTTTCCCTACTGAAAATGAGAGATGTCAAAATAGCTAAATGTTTTCGAAGGAAATGCTACTGTATCAGAACATTTGCTCCAAGAGAAAAAAAAAATTAACCTGTGTACTGTAATACAATAAATGCCACGCAGCCAGACTGCGCAGTTATAGATATAGTCTTTGATGGTAAGGTGAACATGGCATGAAGATTGCGGGTTGTTGGTTACTTGGAGTAGTGTAGCTGATTTCTGACAAGTCCAATATAAAAGGGGTTTAAGAGATTACAATGTCAGAGTTAGAAGATGTGTGGGAGATGGAAGTATGTGTCAACAGCACATCAATCACAGGCGCGGATTTGAGGAAACTTGCTGAGCTTATCTGAAACCGTGCATTATCGTAGGTCTTATGGTGGCTTACAAGCAGAAGGAACTTGAGAAAAAAAAATTAAAAATAGTGTAAGATATTTGTTTGCATGACAGCTGGCCAAAGGATACAAGATTGGTCCAGTTAAACATACAGTATTGAAGCAAGCATAGCATGTCTGGTAGTGTTCATTATGGGAGATCACTGTCACTTTTACAATAGGGAAATGGGATTGTCCTTGCTAATTATATAATCAAGTTAAACTAAAAAATAAGTTTTACAGATGTTAGTTTTTGTAAAAAAGTATTTGTTAGCAGTGGCAACACAATCTTACTTTGGAAGAAAGGTTTTGTTCCTGTTTTGAACTGTACTTTTCAAAGCCACTTCTTGAATGAATGTATAATCAATGGTTACACTAAATGCACAATGTACAGTACATGTGGCTATTGACCTAACAGTCATAGAAGCTGCTGTTAGAATTCATTTCCCAGGTCAGCTAATATACTGTACAAAGCTGTAGTAGTCTATTGAGCAGTTAAGGCTCTATAATATGATTGGAAATACAGTAATAAAGAACTTCTAGCATTTGCACACAGCAGGAATTAATACAATGAATAACATTATTTTTCTATGTAGAAAATTATATTTTTTCTTTGTACTGTAGATAACAAGCACAATTTAAAATTAATACAGGTGTACTATAAAGCATGTTTACTCTGTCATAATAATATAATACCTAATATTTTCTTCCATTGTACGGTGGAATGTAAAGGTACAGTATATAGACATAAAGTGACACAAACACGAACATATATTTAACATTAAATCACAATGTGCAGCAAAAACACACAGTTCAAGGTAATATGACACCTCACACATTGGTTTTAGAACTCTGCACCCTGCAAATGGAGTGAAAATATATACTTTTAAAATGGCCATAGAAGAAATCAATGTTAGACCTTAAAAAAAGAAACATATTTCTTGGCCGATTGGCACATCACATTTTACAGCCACTGGGGTTTTCCTTAATTTACATTTCTTAGTGTGGGAGTTTTAATGGAAATTTCATTTTTACACTTGCAGTGTCTCTTTCTGGACCCTTTACTGAGATGAACTGAAGCTGGAAAACGAATTGGATTGGCATTGCTTTGCAAATATTTGAGAACATCAACTGTCAAGTGATGAAGGCGGTGTGGAATACAGGTGTTGCACTTTTAATTACTTTGTACACGGTGGTCAGTTTGCATCAGTGGACTACAGCCCTCGACATTCCACTGGAAGGTAAGTTATAACTGCATGTTTTGTTTATATTGCTATTATTGATTTAATTTATGTGTTTAGATAAAATAATACTTGGTTATTCCATTTAATTATTAATGGTAGTCTTTTACTGATAATGTACATCATGTGAAAAGCGGAATGGTTTCAATGAAGCTTTCTTTCAAACACTGTTTCATGATGAAGCCTGCACATCATGTTCATGATTGTAGTTCAAGACATGTTCCCACATTTCCAAATTCAGCCGTGTCCACCACATCTACAGTACCATTACCCTTGTTAGGTACCAAGTATTTTACCACTTTTTAAAGAAGAGATGATTTACATACCTTAATGTGCAACAAAGAAACCTTTGTACCGGCAAACCGCATACAATAAAAAAGATGAAACATGACTAGAAACATGACTAAAAAAACAGTAATGTAAATCCCTGTTGGTACTCAAGTATCAAGATATCCTTTGGATCATTATAACAGGCGATAAGGAGCTGATATTTTAGTAATGATTTCTTGTCGTCTCCTTGGAAACAAGAGCATTCTTTTCCAGTTTCAACAGTGAATTCATTTTTTTATCCTACCATATGAAGAATCAGTTTTTAAAATCTCCCAAAATTAATGTCAGCTTTTCTTGTGTTTTCATTAAAACAGCTGCATTATTCTTTGTCTTCTTCGTCTTCTTAAAAAAATAATCTAAGGCTGCTACTAAATGTTTCATTACCCGTCATGTGTGATTGAATATGACTGCTTAATGTTTTTTATAGAATTCTGGTCAATTTAATGAAGGTGAACCATGAGTATGGAATATGCATAAGTAATATATATATACAATTACTATAACATTTTATAGTATGCATGTAAGTAAACAGAAACAACAATTAATGAAATGTAACACTTTTTCATTTTTTAATGCTTCCTTGGATTTTCTAGTTTTAAGTCAAGTGAACAGTAAGTTCTTTCCCATCTCAATATTACTTCACTTTTTTACAATGCAATACTAATTTGACTTCACTAACAAATTGGATTTGGGGCAAATTGATACTTATATCAATAAAAGAATGTTTAACTGTGGTCAGTTCTTCAATTTGTTAAGTCATTTGGAGCATTATAGTGCATTGAACGTCTTGTATTTAGTATGTAAATACAAAAAAATATTATCCTCCATGAAAAAGATACTCCTTAAGGATACTCTTTAATTAAAAAATGTAATCAGTACTGATATGGGACTGTTCAGCAGAAGGCAAAGATGTGTAGAACGTAACCCATTTCAACTACATTTTTACTTGCATAAGCATTTAGAAATACATTTTGTGAATAGATTCAGTCTCACGCCATTGCCTCTTTCAGTCTATGTACTGTACAGTAGGTATGTTAATATTTTTGAGAAATATTCAGGTAATTACTATATTATGGACTATAGGCTATTGAAACAAGCATTTTAGAAACGTATTCTAGTTCTGAATTATATACCATATACAGTACAGTATTAATCACTGTCAGGATCCATGGAATTACCTGTGCTGTTTTAAATGATCATACAGTATTTTGCAGGATTTAGAGTCATTATTTCCCTTCAACATAGCAATTTAGCACATCAACACCACAAAGTATCCTAGCCCTTTGAATAAAACAAAATTGGGAGTTACAAATATAATAAAGGTAATTGCATACGTAAAAAAGGAAAAAGAAAGCCATCACACTTCACTTCCATAGATATAAATCAGAAGAAGAAAATGTATGACAAATAAGTGCACCATAACACAGAAAATCATGTTTTAGGCTCTTTTTTTGATGAAATGCACAAATTCAGATGAGTGGCTCTCACATAGAGTGCTCTTGCACTCTGTGGATATGATTTCAAGCACCTGCTGTGTCTGCTGCTAATGCTACAGTGTTGAACTCCTCAAGGAGCTTTCATCAGGAATTGGAAAGTGTTGTCCAATCAGTGCACTGGGACAGCTATTTGAGGTAACCACACACTCTCACCAAGGAATTTTAATACAAAAAATAAACCAGTACTGTACTAGATTACAGGAAATGTAGTTTTATCAGGTTGTGTGTAAACATTTTTAAGTAGCTTTCTTCTGTAGTCTTCTTGCAGAATGTAGCCTAGTGTACAGTACAGTATGTACTGTAGCTTGTAGGATACCTTAAGCCTAGTGTAGGTAGCTTGTAGGCTACCCTTTTAATCCTTTCATTGGAAGTATGTATATATACAGTACATAACCTTCAATGTGTTTACAGCTGTTTTTCAAGATCTTTATAAGACCAGTGAAAACTGAATGTGTGATGATACCTCTTTTGAAATCCACTGTGCTGGACAATTAGTTAATGTTGTGTGTACAGTATATTATGACACCCACTGATGAGCACTCCTTCTTTTTAAATACATACTTATATGTGCAAATATGTGATTATTGTTCTATTTGTCTTGTCCAGTTGAGCAACTTCCCACCATCACAGAGCAGTCCCCAACTTCCCAAATAGCATTCCCATTTGATGAGAGCATTTCTATTAAGTGTGAAGCAAAAGGCAATCCAGAACCAGAGTAAGTATTTCAGTTAGTAAAATACTGTAAAAATCACTTTAGATATGCATACTGTATAATACAGAATGGTTTTGTTCAGTTTATAGGGAAATAAGAAAAATCTTTTAAATGATAAAACCTTTTCTTTTTTAATTTGACTTTATCCTGTTCAATATTTCAAGGCACAATTGTTCTCTTTTAGATTTCAATGGACAAAGGATGGACTGGATTTCTTTCCTGATCAAGACAACAGGCTGATAACACAGGAGAATTCAGGAACATTTGTCATTGTCAATAATGGAAACATTACAGAATTCCAGGGCAAATATCGCTGTTATGCATCAAACAAATTGGGAACAGCTGTTTCGGAAGAGATTGAATTCATTGTACCCAGTAAGCATTAACTTGTGATGTCAATATAAGTATTCTAGCTCTAAATGTGTGAACAATGAAATTACGTACAGTAATTACACACATTATGTAAACTGTTGTAACAATGGGTGATGTTTTGTGATGGTATATTTTTGTCACAACACTACCTACTCTTTAAAGTTTTAAAGAGTTTAAAGTTTTATGGTGTTAAAAACATGCACAGAAATATTCACAGTATACTTATTACTCTGTTTTTCTTTCATAAATTGTCATATCTTATCAACATGTCTATCTTTTAATTCTTTTCACTTATTCCTTTATTCAGAAGTACTATGAATTTAGCATATTGTGTAATCTTGCTCCACAAATCCTGTATATACAGTATGTTCCAAAGAAGTTTGAGATTGCTGTCATTTTATATGATTCAGTACTTAGAGGTAAAGCATTGTGGTAGTATAATTCTATAAGCTTGACTACATGCATACAGTGAGCCCTGTATGCATATAGTACAGATCAGAGAAGTTAGTTTATTTCTAAATGTAACACGCACTATATATTTTATAGAATATAAAATCTATATGGGGGTCTCCTGAATGGCTCAGCTGTTTAAGGAATTCGCCCAAGCGAAGACTGGGCTCTGTGATTGCGGGTTTGAGCCTGGATCATGTCAGTAGCCAATTGTGACGGGGATTCTCCAAGCTGCTGTGCACAAATGGCTGAGCTCCTCTGATCTTGGTGTGGGTTTAGTCAGTCTGGGCTCGGAGATATCCATCTTCCCCAGTCATTATAAAACGTTGAGTGGTTTGAAGGTGGGTGGGTTGGAGGAGTCTGCCTGCACTTCCTTATTCTGTGGTCTTGGTGTTTATTGCTGTGATCTGAGATATGAAAAACAAAATTGGCTAGTCCAAATCAGCTGTACTGTATATTACAAAAAAAATGGTCAATCACAAATTCTAAACCTATTACAGATGAAAAAAACTCAATTGCTTTAGCTAAGAAGAGCAGTTGAGAATGTTACATGCACTGTTTAACATGTTGACATAAAGTCAAGTTAAATTTTACACCTAATTACACTGTTAATAATACAAGAAGCTAAATTGTCCCTTCACGGCACTCTGTCTGCTTGTGCATTTTTTAGGTATTCCAAAATTTCCTAAAGAAAAAATTGACCCATTTATTGTTGAGGAGGGGCAGTCAGTCATTTTGAAGTGCAATCCACCTAAAGGCATTCCTCCTTTGCAAATATACTGGATGACAATTGGTGAGTATTGTATCAGCACAACTGAATTTCTGAGCATCCTCTATACTTGTTGTTGGTTAACTCTGGCAATTAGTATATTAACTGTTTTCACTTTTGAATCTCAGAAACTTTTTTGTTGTAATCATAGTGTTGGGAAAGTCCTAGAAGGCTCAATCTGCAGCCATGTGTTTAAGTACATGGCTCACCATCCCATATTGTTTCTAGTCCTTACCCACACCCTTCCCCACCCTCTTTATTGCCAAGAAGAAGGGGAGGGGCTGCTGCCTCACTGACCTTTTGACTGGTGTCTGAATTACTGGCTCAACAGAAGCTTAACCACAAACGTTTTCCAGCACAATCATCCTTACAAAATGCTATTGAAGCTGTGGAGTTTATGAACCTATTAAATGTAAAGGCGTTTTACTTAAAAAGCAGTGATACCGGGTAAGAAATTATAACGATGCTGAATCATATCAATAAAAAAAAATTTGTTCTTGTAAAGGCTCAGGAATTAAAAAGTGGGAAAAATATGCACAGCCTTAACTTTCAAAAAGCAGACCTCTGTTGGATGTTACACATGGTCAATGTTTTATTTTGCTAACAGGTTTCAGGACAAAGGCATGTTTTTTTTAATTAAATGTTTTAACCTGCTGAACTTGTTTTGTGAACTTGTTTTTGTAGAACATTCTTTTGTCTCAGTTAGTGAATGGATAGAAATAGATTGGTGGTTATTCGTACTAATTGTATACATTATTTTGAGGGTGCTTACTTGCCTTGATTGTACAGACAAATTGTACTGGACCTTGCAAACTCTCTCAAATATATCAATAGAACTCCAGTCATTGCCAGAAACTCTAGTCAATGGGAAGTCTTGATCAAGGAACATTAAAGTAATTATGGGTCTAAACCAGTTATAGTATCAGTAGCTACTGATTATTTTATATGTTATATGGGTTTTTCGACTGGAATGAGCTTTAACCTGAATTCATTCATACAGCATAATATGGTATCAAGTTATAGAGAGCTATGTTTTATTTTGCACTGACTTCTTTTTGCTTTCCACATTCTTTTTTTCTTTCCTTCTTTCTCTTTCAACAGGTTTGCAGCATATCCAGCAGGATGAGAGGGTATCTATGGGGCTAAATGGAGACCTCTTCTTCTCCAATGCGCTGGAGAAGGACAGTAGAAGTGACTACTGTTGTGTTGCTTCTTTTCCAAGAATTCGAACCATTTTACAAAAAACAGCAATGTCTTTAATTGTCAACAGAAGTAAGTTTCATGCTATAAAGATCTAGGCACACAATGTATTGATAATAATTTTGTAAGGACTGTGGGTGGAACCTAGAGCACTTGAAGAAAACCCACATAAACATGGGGAAATTATGCAAACTCAACAGGCCAGAATCAATTCCAAGGCTCTACGGCAGCATTAAAAACCAAAGCATAGTGACACCCATTAGACCAGCATAATACTGTTATTTTATTTTTTGTTCTGCATTTTCATATTCATTATCATATATTCATTATTATTTTCCGTGTGCTTTTTTTTCATGTTTGTCATTTCTTTTCCACATTTGTATTTCAGTTAGATCTGTCAATGGTACAGAGTCACGTGATATCACTGATGCTAGTGGTGAGTTAAGTTATTAACAGCAATCTAATCTTGTTCCAACACATTTATGGAATGGGAATTCTGAACTCCTGTTACATAGTCAGCAGGTGCACAATCAGTAAAAGCAGCATGCTTGACCAACATGAAATTGAATCCACTTAGCTAAAGGTACAGCGTAAAACATGTCAAAAACTCAATCTGGAAATACTGTCGCAGCTCCTGGTACATAAAGTCACAGATTTCATATTTGGAATTAATATTTACAGTTTGTAACCAGGTTTATCAAAACTACACATTATAAATCCTGTAGAGTATAGATTATTTTTTTAACTTACTGTAGAGTGAGATGTTGCTGTTAAAAAAAAAGTTTTAAAAGGCTTTATTAGTTGATTTACTAGTCAGTGTACTTGATACTAAAATATTGTTTGATACTTAAAATAATCAAGATTTTCTTGTATGTTAATTGTAAACACTCCCCTCTATTTAAAGCAAACGCAATCTCAGAAAGAAAGCCAAGGCTTCTATCCCCCTCTGGTGGTCACTCTGAGATCCAGCTTGTGAAAGGAGATTTACTTCAGTTGGAGTGTATCGCAGAAGGACTGTGAGTAACATGTTCTCTAATCTTCCATAATACAGCTTGTTATGTCCAAACAAACTATCTAAAATCCCTCTTCTTAAAGTTGTGCTTTTGACCTATAAAACGACTATAATGTGCTTCCTCTTCATTTTCTAAACTTGCCGCCCTTATCTGTACTCCAGGTCTAAACAAACACTGTAACCCATTGACAGCTTCTTTGTCAACTTTCTTTCGTTGCCACAAGCGGTATGGGATACAATTTAGTACAGTAATGGTGTAATAATAAAGTATATACTGTAATAAATATTATGAAAATAATTTTGGTGAAAAATGATAAAAAGAGGGTTTATACATTTAAACTGTTTCATGTCACTAACAATTGTACAGTAACTGGAAAGAGTTTATCTTTTTTTTTTGGTGATGCTGTTAGTCCAACTCCTTCGTATGAGTGGGTTAGAGTTGGAGCCGACATGCCTGAGCAAGCAAGAAAGGAAAACCATGGCAAACTTATAAGAATACCTAATGTGCAGGAAGAGGATGATGGTAAATACATGTGCAAAGCTAAGAATTCACTTGGAGAAGTACACCACTACTTCCACGTTACAGTTGAAGGTGAGTGATTCTGCAGGTAGGAGTCATGAAATTTAAATATTATTTTGGTTTCCAGCAAATTAAAGCAGTTTAAATTTGTGGTGTATTAAGAAGAAAAGGAATGACTGCTTCATCCAATCCATAGCTATAAGCAAAACAGTTCTACAAAAGAGCTTGTACCCCACAATTATAATTGTGATTTGTTCTAAACTACCTACAGTACAGTATACAGTAGATCACCTGGGATGTATCATTTTGTTTGGAAAAACTCGCCATCTAGTGGTTAATGGTTGCAATGGTGCGTCACAAACAGTTTTCAGTTAAACACCGTTGCTTCTTCCAACTAAAGATTTGAACTCCACTAAATAACTTAGAAATGATCATTTATGAGAAAAGACTTGCAAACGCAAATGATTATATTTAACCTAATTTTAATATCATTACAGGGAAACCAGATTACATGTATTTTATCTTCCTTTATTTGTGTTTAATACATTGATACTAGTATAGTGTTCTGAAATTGTCACCAAAAACACATACAGTATAGTACAAAATAAGTCTTATTAAGCAATATATTTATTACTATGAATTTAATTATTTTCTTCCCAGAACCACCTCAATGGGATTTTAAACCAGAAAGCCAGATAAAAGTCATTGGGTCTGAAGCCCATATAAGATGTTCTGCAACAGGTAAACCACAGCCAAGTATAAAGTGGACAGTAAATGGGTTACCTTTACATGGTAAGTAAAAAAAAAATCTGTAAGACTTGCATTATGAAATATACATGAAAAGTCTACTCTCAGAACTACAGTATTTTGCATTTATCTTGAAACAAAAATACCTTTAACAAAGAATCAAGGATAACTGTATGTTTTAATGCACGGTTACATTCTGACAGAATGTAAGCTGTAAGTGTTTAAAAGTTAATTTTATCAGAATTTAATGCTTCGGCAAAATACCTTAACATTTGGAGTGTAGACCTTTAAAGCAGGTTTCTTGATGTTAAATTAAAAGGAGTTCAAAGCTTAGGAGGAGGAAAAGCCTAAGTTCCTACCAATCACTGGGTATAGAGTATAAACACAGGGCTCTAGACCACTGTGTGCCACGTTTAGCACTGTTATCTTCAATCTATCATAACCTACTCTGCGGCCTTTGCAGCAACCTCTTGGTTTACCAGGAGGGGGCTCCATCTTCTTGATAATATGACCATGCAGTGCCTCAAACCAAAATATGTTAAAGCCAAAATATCAGTTAGGACCCTGCAATCATTTTACTGTGGTTTCTCAGTGTATTATAAATTTCCTATTAATTCATTAATGATTATTTCAGATGTACCTGCATCCAACAGAAGAGTTTTAGGTGACACAGTCATACTTCATAATGTAAAGCCAAATGACAGTGCAGTATATCAATGTCAAGCATCAAACAAACATGGGACCATCCTTGCCAATGCTAATATCATGGTAATGAGTAAGTACACCATTGTATTCATGTACTTTTGGATGTAAGAGTGAATTACTTTGAAAGCATTTCACTTTCAGGCCTAATTACTTTTCAGATGACTAAATGCAAGTTCAAGTTCTGTACAGTATTGCTATCACTTTTTTAAATGAGTGCCTCTGCTTCTACTGTTTACCATTCTGTCCAACCTTATTGTATTAGCTATGGAGAAAAAAAGGAACACCAACGTGATCATAAAATAGCTAAAGGATAGTAAACATCTGTTTTCTTTGTTAGTTGGAAAAAAAGTATTAATTATTTTAATTCCTTGGAATTCCTTAATTTTAAAGTGTAGCAAAGGGTGCCCTTAAGTTAATATTACTGCCTGAGGAAAACTGCTGTTTTAGGATACTCTGTTTAAAGCACCCTTTGTCTCAATGGAACCTGGATGTGATTACTTTTAAATGCAAACGTGTTTCCACCATTAAACTATTATGCTTCTAAGAAGAAACATGACACTCTCATTCTTAATTTGTGAAGTTTTATGTCTTTCAAATACATAGAACATAGAGAAAAACAACATTTTGTTCATCAGACACATGTTTTTCAGTGTTTGCCCACTGTGTGTCCTGTACAGACCTTTATTATTCCCTATACAGTAAATAACCTTTGTCCCATTTATTTACAGTATCAGCATTTCATAGGTTTGCTCCTGAATACCCCAATACCACTAAAAACATGACCATAATAAGTCCTAATTCAATGCACTCTAATAGCTGTATAAAATCCAGATGTATTATTGTATTGTGTTAACTTTCCTGTCAGACCTTCCTCCGATGATACTAACTGAGGATTTTCAGGAATATGCGGCTGTGGTAGGGAAGAGTGTCACCATGCACTGCAAAGTATTCAGCTCCCCCACTTCGGCGATATCTTGGTAAGTGACAGTTAAGGTCCGTCTATATCAGTGGAGATCTTCAATGTACTTTCCTTGCATATAAAACATAAACATCTTTTCATTCCCATTAATCTGAAAATGCAATAAACACATAATTGATTTTTTTACTTCATAAAATCTAAAAAACTCCAGTATAGTCCAACTTCTTACAATACATAGCAGTATAAAACAAATGCTTGATAATACAAGCCTAGGTTTTCAATAATATTTACTGTACATTTTGCAGGCATTGAACTTGTTGCAAAGCAAATGTATACAGAATGTCAAGCCAATTCACTACGACAAGCAATGTTTTTTTTCCAAGATCTGACAAGTTTACAAACAACTGAGTTTTGTACAGGAGATGCTCCAAAAGATTGGAAACTTAACGCAGAACCTGTAATTTTCATTTTCATGAAAGAACCCGAAAATGCTGATGCTCCATTTCTTCAGTGATGGTTCGAGCATGAGCATTGTTTGATCAAGTCCAATTGGATATGCATCTTTTTGGCATACCATAGTGTGAAACATGTATGATGGAGGCAATGAACAGGTGGCAATATTCAGCAGTATTAAGTGAAGCCTGAGGTAAAATGCATTGGCACAGAAGTAGAACAAGAATGAGCATTGAGTTACCAGTTGCTTATGTTAAATACTACTGAATGGATGAAGATGGGTACTACACACAACCCCTCAAAAGAAACAAAAAATCAGTTAAAGTGATTTTGTTAAGTGATGATCATGGAACAAAACCCCATCAGTGATAAGATTGAACAGAAGTCCAATGTGTTTGAGAGGCCACAAGCAGGAACTTTTGGGGTAAGGGGGAGAAGAGTCAAGGCCTTACATCGAACCAGTTGGACACCAGAGAAGATGGTTAAAGGGAGAAGTAAGCTGCTCGGGACACGACCTCAGCTCTGGTACCAAGAAAGGCAATGGTTGTGAATTAGAAGTCCCGATGCAACACAGACTGCTGCTATGCATTTGGGTCCTCAGAGTTGAGAAACATCAGTAACTGGGTGATGAGGGGTGGGGATTAGGTAGGGAGCTGTGTAACTATGGATTGAGGAAAAAGGAAGTGGAAGGGAGAGAAAAGGGCAATGAGAGAGGAAGCAAATGCAGTTCTTTAGGAGTTCTGGGGAGAGATGATGATATCAGGAGAACTGGAGAAAGAGCAAAAATGTTGCCAGGAAAGAGCTAGGAGATTGCCATCCTGGCTTGGATGAGACGTACTGGCTAGGATGAGACGTGGTCAGTTGAAAGAACAGTGAGCAAGAATAGATGATAAGGTTGGAGAGATGCAGATGGGATAACAGTAAGAATACGAGACACCTTTGACTCAGACTCAGTTTGACAAACGTTTTTTGCATGATCACAGGTTATTTTAAGAATATTGGTGTTATCTTTAATTTCATTCTGGATAAAGTTTATTTTTCTGCTGACACAATGTCAGATTATTAAGATCTCCCCCCTCTTGATTGCCCCAGTAATATGTAGTGGCTTAATGCCTGTTGTTTATCCTAGAATTTCTTTGCTTACAGCTGTCTGTTTAATAATATTACTAATGTACTCTGAATTTGACAGTGATACTAATCACCAGCACTTCTTCAGAGCATATTCTTCTTTCTCCAGCTTCTTTTGTAGTAATTCCCACTGAAATATTGGGCTGCTTAAAAATAGCATTAAATTGGTTGATTACATCTTATGGAAATGAGCACCTTTCTGCCTTTATTTCTGATTACATTCTGTAGTCTTCACTGGATGCAGCGATGCTGCTAGTCTGAGCACTGTGTGGGGATCTGAACCTAAGTTGTTAGGATTGTAGTACATATGAACTACTGCTGTGTTGAAAGAGCTGACCTGCTAAGCTAGGTTACATGCTTTAGGCCACATCTTTTACTTAGTTCTTGGACCTAAATCAATACCGCCTTTCCACAGTCACAGACAATTCTGTTAGGCTTCCAGGTTTATGCTTCTCTTAAAAAACTACCAGAAATACTGAGCCTATTGCTGCTTTTTAATCTTTCTTTTAAAAAATCACTTTGGCTTTCTGTTGTCATTTTTTATCATGCAAACAGTTCTTCTTAGGATTTTTAAAATATTATTCCTGTTATATTTTCTGTCTTTTAAAGCATTCTTTGAAAAGTTATTTCTCCTCCATGTTTTGTAGCATATACCCTTACAGACTATAAAACACACAAATACTTTTAAATACAATAAATACAAATGCTTGACAAGAGTTGTTTAATGTCTTTTTAGGTCAAAGGATGAATCAGTTGATTCTCTTCAAGATGACAAAAGATTTTCTATTCATAAAAATGGCTCGTTGGAGATTCATAGTGTTGTAAAAAAAGATAGTGGCCAATACATATGTCTTGCTACCAACAACGAGGGAAAATCAGCAATTACTACATTATTAGATGTAAAAGGTATGTTGTAGCATACACTGTCATCCCTAGTAGTCTAGTCATTAGCCAAACAAATTATTATACAATATCAGCTCATTTTATTAAACAAATGTAAAATAATATTACTTTGTTTTCTGTCTAAATGAAGTAGTATCTGTACATACAAAAGTTAAAAAACTACTAAAACATTTAACACCATCCTTTACAGCTGGGGATTGACAAAATTAAAAATGATTATAATTTATAATTTTACAGATGCAACAAAAATAGTGGATGCTCCACAGCATTTAAAGGTGCTAAGAGGAACCACTGCTCAACTGACTTGCCAGGCAGAATATGACAGCTCTTTCAAAAGTAACTTTCGAACCCTCTGGAAAAAAGATCAAGAGGAAATATTTTTTAACAATACAGAAAGCACTCGGTAAGATACGTGTCTTATAAAAGTTGTTTTGAAAATATTTCTTAAGTATTTGTATTCATTAGCACCAATATACAGTGTTTTTTATTTACTTTAAACTGTGATATAAAAAAGATAAAAATGTTTAGCAAATTCTAACTTGTTAGTTCAACTGCGAGAGGCATTGTATAATCTTGTCCTCTTAATGTTTAGATATTATGAGGATAGTGGGGTGTTGCAAATAATCAATGTAAACCATGAAGACGAAGCTGTATATACTTGTATAGCAATCACCCCTTTAGACCAAGATGAGGCAACTGCACAACTCATTGTACTTGGTAAGTAAAAAATAAAACTTTTTTATTTGACTTATCCACTATGACTGAAGCTGTGGGGTCCCAACAAAGAAATAACATCAACATTTTTTTTAGAACGACTAATTATATTTTTATAAAGGAAGAATGCTAGTCAAATTATGAGTGTGTTGTTGTTGTTATTACCACACCAAATCTCTGATATAAAGATGGAATATTTTGGTATTTGCACAAACTGTAGATGTTCCTGATCCTCCTGTGGAGCTGGCACTTAGTGATCACAAAAACAGAAGTGTAAAACTAAAGTGGGATCCTGGGGATAGCCATAACAGTCCAATAACAGGTACAGTACTTCTACATCCAGGCAATCACACAAAACTGTTAATACTCATTTTAATTCTTTGAACTTATACTGTATAAGCATGCTGTATTTTTTATTGGATCCAAGAACCTTTTGAAATAACATGCTCTTTAGGAAGGGTCAAATTTCATTCTGTGTCACAGCTGGAAAGAATTAGAAGGCCCAAAGGGAAGTTGTGCTGTGCAAGACTTAATCTTAATATGTAATTCTTTAAATAGAGTTTATTGTTGAATATGAAGAAACCCGATGGGAGCCTGGGAAGTGGAAGGAATTGGTAAGAGTTCCTGGGAATCATGCTTCAGCGCTTTTAAAACTGCATGGCCATCTAGACTACCAGTTCCGTGTGTTAGCGGTTAATGAAGTTGGAAGAGGCCAACCAAGTGAACCAACAGAGAGATACAAAACTCCTCCAGCAGGTTTGTGTTCCTCAGCATCATTAGCATGCTTTTGAATCAACATTTAATTTCCAAATGATTAAATATTTATATATTTTTTCCTTTTGTACCTTTTTCTACTGCAATTCAATTTGTATACCCTCTTGATAATTGCTTAGAGGAAATACAGTACATACAGTATACTGCAGTAGTTTGTAGTTCAGGGGCTGTGGGCTACTGCAGCTTTTTAGAAATACTCAGTTGTGGGGCTGCACTACTGTGTAAAACCGCCAGGTGGAGCAGTGAAAGCTTAATGTGGTATGTGGAGCATTTGGGCTATCGCCAGAAAATGCCTGGTTTCAAATCCTGGCCAATGCTGAGGGACAATGCTGTTCTATAATTTTTCAATTATAGAACTTAAGTTGTATACTGTGTAGAACTCACTGAATGACCAGGTTCTTGAAGTGAGCAGGAAAACAGACCTTTATGTATGCATACAGGAGCACAGTGCAAAATCCAGTTCTGAATAGAGCTCAAATTGAATACAGCATTGTTTCCCTTTTTATACAATGAGAATCACACCAATTTAGTCATACTGTATAAGAGGAAACCAAAAGAATAGCAGATATTCCAACAGAAAAACATAAGATATTTTCTTAGGTAGTTTCAATTGCTTGCATACCAAGAGAACATTTAGTTTCAAAATGGAATGTCTATTACCTGATAAAAGAGAGTCATGTGCGATTGCAGCTATCAACCAGCTACTCACCAAGGATAAGGATAATTATGAGAACAGGCCTGTTGTTCTTTTCTCAAAGCACAAAATTATTAACCCTTTGGATCTCTTCAACTGTTTAGACTTTTATTCATTTTAAACTGACTGAATGTTAAACATTAAACTAATTAAAAAGTCAGAATATTTTATGAAACCAAGATTATTCAGTTGGATATATAAAAATGGTTCATTATTAAACTATAGCTTGTGAACATGATGTGCTTCTTTTAGGTTTACATCCACATACAGAAAATCTAAAGGTAAATTTTGGAAGCTGAAAATAAAAACAGTAGAATAGCGTAATACATACCTAATGTACACACAGTAGATGGTAGGTGATGGCTCAATATAAAAAGTACACAACAGTAATCCACCTTCTTCATAAATATTTTATGCATCAAAGTCTTTAACTTGGTGACTTACAGTGGGTTATGGTTTTAACGTGCTTGTTCTAACATTATAACGTTTAAATACCGTACTGCATAAAAAGTTATAACATTTATACTTTTCTAAGAATGTGTACAGTATATCACTACCTACACTGTATGTGTTCACAACATGCAACTTTTTGTGTATAGTATCTGGCCTTTTACTAACTTTGTCATCTTATTGTGTGGTTCAGTGTGGCAGATTGTGTTTGAGATAACAATAAACAGGAATAACAATAGTTTATTTCCTGGGAGCTTTGAAAAAAAATTGAATGGCATACTCTACTTGCATTATATGGGCAATGCAATTTTCTAGTCATGCATTTGCTGCTATGGTGAAACACAAATTTCATATTTTGTTTCCTTTTTAGCTCCTGATAAGAACCCAGAAAATATCAAAATTGAAGGCCATTTGCCTAATGAATTAGATATTAATTGGGAGGTAAGAAAACACAATTGGGTCATTTTTTACTAAGTACATTTTCTTCCTACTACAAAAAGTATGTCTTATCACAATACATCTATTAACAACTATAGTGGTAAGTGATATTTCTATAGTGAATACAGAAATGTTTCTTTTTAATAATCTAGAAATAATCTTTCTGTAATTGTGTTATATTTTATAATGTTAGGTGCTTCAACAGAAGATGGGAGCTTTATTTTGAAATTTGTACTCTGCAGAAGTTTCTTACTCCTTTGTGTCAGGTTTGAATACAGAGTGTTTAAAAATTGATGTAAAGTAACTGAATTCTACTTAACACTTCATTGTAGTGCTTTAAAAAGATAAATGGAAAGTGATATGAAGGTGATTTATTCATGTATTCAGTCTGGTCTTACTTCAAAGAGAACCCTTTTTTCTTTATTTCTCAACCCAGAGTGATATTAAAGAACCTACTGGATTTGTCCAGTCTGTCATTGTTAATGGCCAATTTTTGTGGACCATAATTGTATTTTATTATGTTTTCCACTGATATCCCAGTGTGAAGCATGCCAAATGATCTTTTGCTGTGCCTTTCTTCTTTTGATTCATAGAATGCTTTCAATGCTGTAGTAGAATATCACTTTGCTGCAGTTCATTCTAATATCTTCAAGCCAGGCTGTACTAGCACAGCTTTCAGCTCACATCCCTGGAGAGTTATAGCTTGTTAGTGTCACTAATAAAAAATAAATAAATAAGAAAGATCCTGAGCTTGAAATAATTGCTTGTTTTAAAATACAGCTCACTCCTCTTACAGTAAATAAAATCTTATCCTATCTCTCTTTGGTAAAGAGGCATGTATTATTTTTCTATTGAATGTTACATGCACTCTATATAAAATTGTGGTGTGTCATTAGAAGAAAGTAGAAATCCTTATTGTCTTAGTTTTTTTTCTACACAAATGCAATATACTGGGTTGTGTCTACTTATTTTGCAATTATCAGTGGCTTGTCCACATGGCTTCACAGTACGTTTAATCAATGTATTGCACTGGGAGAATGAGGATGTGTGGACATAATTAAAGGGGAACTGCAGTCCCAGTTTATCAGACCGGTTATTAGATCTCAGTAACAAAAATTGGCGTTACAGAAAAAATGTACAGAGTTCAAACTAAGCGCAAAAACGTGAACTTTGTGAAAGTACTATGAGTTGCCATGTTACTGCAAACTCACATTCAAGTTCCCATGAACTGCAACATCATTCGGCCCTACCTCCTCACTAGTCTCCGTAATGACTAATGTACTGTGATGTACAACTGAATAATAACATGTGGTGCAGCAGCCATTTCACTTCAGAAATATTCCAATATTATCTGCACGCACAGTTAACAAGTAAGTAGTATTTGTCGGCAAAACCATATACGGCAAAACCATATTAAAATCGAAAGCAATATTTCTGTTGGATTTAAAGAGATGTACTGTATTCAAAAGCCTGCTTGTTTCCAATGTCATAGAGCTGCACACATCACCAGATGTTTTGTTGACCCATTCTGGGATGAGTTTCCCGAAAACTATTTATCTTTGAGACTAACTAGCAACTTTACGATGTACGTATGTAACGTACATGCTACTTTTTCATGCGTTTCCCAAAACCCCTCTTAATCGGTTGTTACGTCCCAGTGTGTGTTCTGTGTGTGTTTTTTCTGTTATGTCCACACTGCTGACCCTTGATTGTTCTCCCTTCCCCGTTGGCCCACCATTACACCACACTTTCAGTATGACGTCATCATCAATTAGCTGTCAGCCAATCAAAACACATCTTATTCAGCATATACCTTAACATGGAGATTTTCATCAAGGAGAGGCCTTTCGTTTGACTTCGGTCCCGTTTGGTTTTCGCTTCGCTTCGCTTCGCTTCTGGTTATTGCTTCGGCTTCATTTGTTGGTTTGTTTTGCTTTGTGTGTGTGTGTATTTTCGTATAGCTTCGGCTTTGTTGTTTTGTTGGTTTTCTGTTAGTTTCTTTGTACTTTTGTTTGTGTGTTCATCCTTGTTTTGCCATTACCTTTGCCGTGTTACATGTTCAACTTTTGTGTTCTTTTGTACCCTGCTCCTGTTGATTACTCTTGTTTTCCCTTATTTGTATTCCTGGTTCACTTGTGTTTTTGTGTGAACTTTTGTATATAAGGTTAGTTTAGGTTGTTGGGTACACTTACTCACTTAGTTGATTTTGCATTAGTACACTAGTTTAGTACGGGTGAGTGCCATTTGTCTTGTATGGTTTTGGGTAGTCAGTGCAGGTTAGCTAGGGTGTTGAAGACGCCGAAGACCATGTGTTTCGGGTTTTCTTTTGTAGTCAGATTAGCTTTCCCTCACTGTCCTAGCCAGCTCCATTTTGTTTGTTATTTTCTTTTATTTGGCACCACTCTAGTTCCTTACCCTTGTTATCACGCTTCCTAGTCCCTCACCAAACCCCACCTGCTTCCAAAAGAATTATCCAAAATTTACACCCCTTTACCCCTAGACACTTGGGGTTGTAACATCGGTCATTTTACAAGCAAGTATAAAGTACTTCTTTGTTAACCCTGCCCCTGAAGTCGCTTAGCAAAAAGCATCACAAGTTGATTGAAAAACAATCAATTGACAATACTTTCATTATATGGTGTCAGTTTTGGTCCTTCAGTGGGAAGTCAACATGACATCATAATTTAACAACCATTTATTGTAAGCGAAAGCATATAGACAGGCACAAAATGGGACACATTGTTTCTAAGAGAAAATAAAAAAAATTACTGACATGCCGTAAAAGAAAACCAAGATTGACTGTGTGGACAGTGTATGCGTCCTACACGTCTTTGATTTAAAGCAATATTTTTTGGCACGCTGCCATTAAGAATCAAAGTGTTTCATGAGAAAATACTGTTGTTATTGGATGTATTGGAACTTCATTTTAACTGGTGTTATTAACTTGACATCTGGAAAAATTAACTACTAAGCTTGGCATGTGTCACTCAACAAATACAGGACCTATAATCACATTTGAAAACGAGTAAGTCTCAAGCTTTACCATCAACAATCATGACAGAACATAAAACGGTATTCGAACTTTAAATATTGTATTGACTGCGGGTTTCAGTATGGAATGGAGCAGGTGTGGGACTCAGAGAATGGGGTTGAACAACACATTTAATAACCAGGAACTAGGAAAGGTACACACACAGGGACAGGGGTTACAGCTCTGCACCTACACTAACACGAAGGGAAGAGACTGTCTCCCAGCCTCCGTCCCACTCTATACAGTCCCGTAGTCCCACCCCCAGACCCTGTTCTCAGCCCACCTTGCATGCACATGGCTTAAGTGCCCAGTGTGGCATTACTTTATAAATATATATTAGGACCAATGATTTAACTTAAATAGTGTATTACTGCATTTCATCATGAAAATCATATAATCTAGTCAAGTATAAAACTTAATTTTTTTTGTTTTTTTAATTGAATGTATTGTAACGGATTGGGGTTCTCTGGGCATGTGCTCTTGCCTCTCCTATAAAAATACAAGTAGAGGAGAAAATACAGATAAAAGAAAGAAAACATAAACAGAACAAAAAAAAACAACTGCCAGCGGTAATGAGGGTAAATATTTATGTAACCAAGTTATGTGTTTACATATATCAAATGTTTTCCTTGCTTTAGCATTTTTTATGTTCTTTATGGAATGTAAATAAAATTTTAACTCCACCTCAAAAGTACTAAAGGAGGGAGTATTATTGGACCATTTGACTTATGAATATGAAATTTACCCAGGGTGACTAATAAATTCATTACTGTATAAATAAATGAACTTTTTCCAAATTTCCTCTTACATGGCACAACAAAATATAAAAATCCTTAATATGAAATCTTAGTATTCTAAATTTCCAGAGAATTGTCATGATGTGAATTTAATGTTGTCTGTCTGGCGATCTCTGTCGCTAAAGTAACGAGTGGGTCGGGGAGCACGTAGATTACGAAGGATTTAACATGCTACTTTAGTTATGATGGATTTTGGGAAACGCTTGTAAATTTACGATAGATCTTAAGATTGAGTTTACGATGTTCTTAGTGCTACAATGCTTTCGGGAAACTCACCCCTGAATCGCAAAATCATGGCACTGCACATAACTTGAAATTTCATTTATTTTGTGGTGTAAATTGGAGATTTTACAAGTTACTGTATACATTTAACTTTTATTGCGGTTTGAAATGCTATCATCAATGCTGATTCTTTCTAACCCTGAAATCTGAAAAGAGCATTGCAGTTCCCCTGTAAGTGGTATTTAAAGCTCCTGTTATATGTTTTTTTCAGTATAGAGTTCATAAAACCTGATCTAAATATTGTAAGACAACTTATTTGAGGCTCTATGCATAGTGCCTTATTGCATCGAGAGCAACAGTCAGATGAGGAGCACATCTTTCATATATCACTGCAAGCTTGCAAGTGCCCAGCAGGTCCTAGGCATTGCTACTGCACCAAAAACTGAAGACTTTCAGGACAAATAAATTGCACTCAGCCTCAGATATGCTTAGCCAATTGTGCATTACTGCTTGAAAAATCTTGGAAATAATTGGCACTGCACATACTGTACCTCACGTACATCATATCCAAAATGTAGAGCAAAATCTGCACCCTGGTTTGTATCAGAACAAAAATACATTTGTTTATATGCTTATTGTTCACAACCAGTCAATTTCTTTTCTGGAAGAAATACATGTTTTATGTTTTAAATGTTTTAAAAATAAACCAAAGCATTTCCAAGAGAGTTTTTTGCCTGTGAAAAACTGTCAGTATTTTATCAGATTTTATGTGTGAGCTAAAAAAAACATTTTTCAGCACATTTTAGAGGGAGGCAGGAGAGAATGGATTGCTGTAACAAATTAATCTTGGAATAAGGTATTGGTGGACCAGAAGGTAGCACTCCTCCCTCTGGCAGTTCTCAAATTTTGAGTTCTCAAGGCTGTCCCCCAAAGTGCTCACCAGTGACATTGTGTTCTAGGAGGTGCTGTCTTTCAGATGGGATATTAGACCAAGATCCTGTGGCACTGTTTGGGAAAGTAGGGGTGTCAACCCCAGTCTCCTGTATAAATTCCAGTAAGCCTGAACAATGTAGTCTACCTTTAAAGTTCTCCACTTGTGCTATTACTGTAGGTAGTGGGGATGGATGCTGAAAATTTCATTGGAAAAAGCAATAATCCTTTTGTTGTTTTATGTTTTGCTCCTAGCCTCTGAAACCCATTGAACAAAATGGCCCTGGGCTTGAGTATAAAGTGAGCTACAGGCAACAGGGGAGTGAGGAAGACTGGACAGATCGCTTCATTAAAAGGCATTCCTTTGTTGTCAAAAACACCCCAACATTTGTAGCATATGAAATAAAAATTCAAGCAAAGAATCATTACGGCTGGGGTCCAGCACCCCAAGTGGTAACTGGTTATTCTGGAGAAGACTGTAAGTGCTCTCTGCTTTTTTGTAAAACTATAGAAAGCAACTTCGGCCCCTAGAGGGCAGGCTTTAACGTGTCAATAGCTCACAGTGAGGGACTGAAAAAAAACAAACATTTTGACCAAAATATCATATTGTGCAATTTCTTGGGGCTATAATAAGTACTGAACTACAGCTATTACATGCAGTTTTCCTGAGAGTTAAAAAAGTGAATTGGGAGTTGTTTTGTTTTACAGAAAAGAATAAAAACAAAAATATCAAACACTATTGATCAACCCATGTTCCTTACATTTAATCTCCCTTTCACATTCACCTGCTTAAATGATAACATCTTATACAAAAAGTGTGAGTTGCATTTAAACTACCTGTGAAGGAAGGTCAGCAATTTAATCTACAGTACTCTGCTTGTGTAGATTATTCTGCTTTATTTGGTACCAGACAATGTTGTCTCAAAATGCAATGTGTGACATACTGTAGATGAGCTACTTGAACAAGTATGTCCATAATTTCAAACAGAACAAACACACTGCATTAGGTAACTACTTTAAAGTTATACTGTATATCCTTTTCTTCGGTTTTCTTTTGGAGTTGACTTCAGGATATTCCCAAGAGGTGTATTTGTGAGATGTAGTCATCTCAGCTTTGTCCTCAACCTTGTGCTAGGCTGTCCTATGTTAGGATATTTTAATGTGTCTGGCAGTTTATAGACATTATTAGCATCCACAGTGTAGAAAATACTGTAACATAGTATTGAGGGTAATGAAAGCTTTTAGTTTTGTGTCAGCTGATGACAGAGATGATTTTTAACTTGTTTCAAGTTATATTTGTGCAAGACATCTATGATGAAAATATTAGAAGACTGTTCTGTTCTATCTGAAATTCGAAGAAAATATAGAAGGAGCTAAATTCTTCAATAATATGTAATATTACACAGTCTCAGATTGTTTAGCTGTCTTCATGCATGCATAGTTAAGTGAGCTTATTATTAAAATACTGTACAAAAAATTTAGTATTAAGCAGAATATGAAAAAATGCCATGCAAACCCAGTTGCTCTATGAAGGTATCAGTAATATTAATCTACAGTATAATAACTTTTGATTATGATTGTTTTCAGTTCCGTCAGCTGCCCCTGACAATGTGGAAGTAAAAGTTCTTAACAGTACTTTAGCCAAAGTCAGCTGGTCAAAAGTTCCAAAGGACAAGATTAATGGACACCTTGGAGGGTATAAGGTAAAGAATGCTGTCCAGCAACTTTTTGGGGCTATGATTATATATATATTTTTAAGAATTGTAGAGTGTCTGCCATTATAAAAACATTTACACGTAGGTCACAAAATAATTAAGCTTTTTTTGCTTTTCCTGTTTTCCTTAAATTGAAAAAGAAAAGAAGATGATTAGCCATTTGAAATTCTATTTTAGAAACAATTATAACAATTATTAAAACTATAGTACAAACATTAATAACAAAATCATTTAAAGAAATTACTTCCTTGTGTGAGTGCCCACTATAAACCTTTTATACAAGATTAATACAAATGATACAGACACAGTACAGTAAAAGTAAAAATCCTATTTTTTCTATCATGGTTTCAAGATGCAATGTATTGTAAGTCCAATATATTATTACAAGAACCCACATATCTCTAGTAAAAGAAAAGTATTAGAAAATGTACTGTATATATGCTCTAGTTTGTTTTTTGCAAATGTGATAAGCATTTAAATATACCATGCTGCTTTAAAGATAATTAATTTAAAGAACACAATAATGTGTTACAGAAGTAAGGGCAAAATAATGGTGTACTGCATCAGTAGTAAGAAAACTACCTACCACACTATATTACAAAAAGTACAGTCTGCTGTAACAACAATACTATATATAACAAAAATACAGCAAAAATCTGTAAAGGCAGCACCTATTATGTGAGAAAAATTACAATCTGTAACAGCAGTACATACTATGTTATCATAACAATGAGTGTTGACATAGTGTTTTAGTAGTTCAGTGTTGTTAATGTAATAACGGTGTAATAGAGATGTTTGTTTTGGTCTTCTTTGCTGTCCTCTTTATGAAGCTATTCTTTTCATCTTTTATCCATCCCCCCATGATCTGCCAAATTTTAAACTGCAAGCAACATCAACTTGTTCAGCATCATTTTTTGCTTGATCAATAGCTGCAAGCTTCTCTTCTTTAGGCACAACTTTGTTGATATTTTGTACACATACAGTCATCACTCAGCCTCTTGTCTTTACTTTGAGCTCCAACAAATGAATCTGGCAATTGTTCAATTTCTATCACAGAGAACAATATTCAGTGGTGTGATTCAATGTACTATAAAAAAATAAATGGGGTGATGGTGGGCCACTCCTGAGCTGCAATATAATGTATCTGTAGCTAGGGGCAATATAATGATGGGTGCTGCAGGTACAGTATATCAAATAAATTCTTATTTTTGGTTCTTGGAATCCTGTTAGGTTAGATAAGAAAATTTGAAGGCATGGGAGAGCCCTTAACAATCACCAGTAATAACAATCATAGTAATAATCATATAAGACATATCTGTATTGTCTAGCAGGGTAGTGCACTTACATATTTATTGGATTTAAATTTTAGAGTGTAAGGGAAGGTAACAGACTGTAAAGTTACAAATGTATTTTACATGAGCTCTGCATACTTAATACAATACCATGACTGCTTAATCAAACGCCTTTCATTAGAATAGTTACATTCCCAAGTCTGGGTTTCTTAAGTCTTCCAAGAAGGGTAGAATAGGCTGAGTTCAGGTGCAGATCATGTACATTAACCTTGAATGTTTCCACATGATCTTTATTCTGCATGTTTTGATTTAAATGTTCTTTTTATTCTAATTGTATATTTTTTGCTTTCTTCGTTTCAGGTTAGCTGGTGGAGGATGAGGGGCTTGTTAGAATCTAAGAAAAGCCACGGGGAGAAACACATGTTAACATTTCCTGGGGAGAGACACCATGGAATGGTCCCAGGCCTGAAGCCTTTCTCTGAGTACATTCTAATTGTCACGGCCTTCAATGGACGGGGCAGTGGTCCAGGCAGCCTCCCTGCCACATTCACAACTCCAGAGGGAGGTAAGAATGGTGGTGCTAAAGGAATGGCAATGCATAAACATACATACATAAATACATAAATTGTACATAAATTGACTGCTCTCTCTAAACAGTTCAAAAAAAGGATAGAACACTTCACAATCTGTGTTCTTGTGGCAGTCATAAAAGAAAACAAAAAATAAGTTTTGAAACATCATTAAATGAATGAGGCTTGATGTATATCTTGTTACTTCAGCAGCCCCGGTGTCTATGTTATATATTTTCCTTTCCGGGGACAAAACCTCTTTACTCATATGTTTTTTCTTTTTAAAAATAGAATCAGAATTGTTTTCTGTTTTATACCTTCTGTGTTTGGAAACACACATTGGTAATGGTTTAACCTGCTATGCTATACAAAAGAAAAATGATGGTGAAACTCCAACTTTCCAAGTCATTCATAATTCCATACATGGTCCACAGTATCTTTAGATTAAAAACCAACACTACAAGCCTGCAGAATTTGGGAGAACAATGAAACACCAAATTGTTCTTCACTGCTTTGTGAATCCCAGTCACAATCATCTAATGGTATGTTCCAATCTGAACCCAGAAGTGTCTCCTCCATGGAGCTCAAGCCACACAAGCCTTTACTGCTTGATTCTCTAGGGATTCTTTCTGTGTTCTTCTTTAAAGGACTTTTACATTTCCCTTTCTCACCTTGACCTCCCTTCACTCTAAATGCATTCCCACTTTTTTATTTATGTACACATTGGCCTGAAATCCAGTCAATTGCCCAGATATGTCATCTGTGCCCAGCCACATAAATAAAACTCATGGTTCACCATGAGAAACTTGTAGAATTTCTCAGTACCTCAATCTCTCTATTGCTTCACATCATGAGAGTGGCAGTGTGATGGAAAAATAGTTCTCTTATTAAGGTTTTACAGGAAATATTTGTTCCTAACTTATTAGAATTTTTTTGTTTTAATTATTTTCCAGTTCCTGAAAAAATCCAAATATTTCGTGGAAGCCCTCAGACGAATTCAATAACTCTTGTATGGGCCCCACCATTGGAACCAAATGGAATCCTCACAGGATATCTTTTGCAGTATCAGATAAGTATGTAAAAAATAAACAAAACTAATCTCAGTCATTCAGAGCTCAGTCTCTATCTTTTTTCCTGACTATTACTAGCAAGGAGCACAATCCTTATAACAGATATGTTTTCAATATTTAAAACTGTCATTGTTATTTCATATGGAAGCGCATTGTTGTCATCAAGAAAAAAAAATAACGAGTTAGATAGTCATTATGAGAAAATGATCTTGTATTTCAAGATAGCAGATTGTCTCGTAATTATGAGATACCTGTTGCAGATTATCTCGTTATTCTGGGACAGCAGATTATGTTGTAATTTGGAGATTCTTGCGTACATTACGTGATTATCATGTGATAGCACAATTGTCATAAATACCCACATTATCAATAGATGACTTTCAGTTTTAAGCAGTGGAATCGATTACACGGGACAATCATTCTTGTTTAAAGATATATGTGAGTGTCTTCATTGTTAAAATGATGTTCACATTAGGTAGAAATTGTAACATTTCACTTTGAATAAACCCCAGTGGAAAGTAAGTCTGTGCACATTCTGCAGCGTCGAAATGTTTCAGAATGCTAAACCCACATTTCTAACTGAGTTATCGGTAGCTTCTAGGTGCTGTCATTGCACAATATAACAGGTTGTTCATACACTCAAATGGTTGTTGTTATCTCATAACTGCAAGATTTTCTTACTTGATAACTCGTGATTTTTTTTCTTTGATGCAGCAATGCGCTTCTGTAATCTCAAACCTCAGCACTGATTCATGAAAAATGATTCAGAAGTATTTTTACCAGATACTTGTGGTTTTGTAACTTAATGAAAACAAAACCGGTTTCTGCATTCAATATCTATTTGCAATAATTACAAGTGACAACTAAATGCTGGCTGTTATTCTTAAGAATGATACTACTGGATGCTAGTAATAATTGTTTTTATTTAATTTTAACTAAAACTTAATTTGATTGATGCATTATGCTAGTATTGATTTACCCTTTCGCAATTAAGAATTCCAACCATTGCTTAGACTTTACCATTACATGATATTACTATTTTGTTATATTTTCTTTCATGTTTCAAGTAATGATAAAAATCATTCTGTGAAGTGCACCACCAAACTGGGTGATGTGTGGCACCTTTTATGCACCACCACTTACTTCTTTATCATTTTTATTATAATATAATTATAATAAACAGATAACTAGTTCATCTCTTTAATTTAAATAATTCATTTTCAGAGACAATGAACATCTGTAGGGAAAGAACATTTTGTTTAAGCATGCCATGAAAATTTTTTGTTTTAGTACAGGAGGCTTACGGGGTACATAAATAAGCAATATACTTTTTATCATCACTTAAAAATGGATGTACACAGAGTCATAACTTCTTAAACATAATACTGAAACAATACATGAAACATACTATGATGACTAAGACTATGATGAATGGAATCAGTTTTGTTCTGTTATTTCCTTTTAAGCTTCCAAGCCTGTTTTATATTGGCTTGAAACATATTGATTTCCTCTGAAAACTTTTGAAGGAAGAAGCTACCAGGGAGGAAGTGACATCTCGAGCTGAAAGAGTTGGAGGTTTGCCTTCTGGCCTCTGCTTGTCAATTTTTTATTCTGATCAAAATAAGAGCTACATAAGCAGGGAGCTGCGGAGGGCTGTGCCTGGTTTTCCCAGTGCGGAAATCTCTGCCTCTAGGACAGACTTTCAATGATAGAGTGAGACAGTGAGTGGAGCCTTCTGCCTCCTGAGACAGTATCAGTCACATCAAACAAGATGTAGGGCTTGTTTCTATAGCACTTCACTAATGATGCCAGGTCAAAACATGCAGCTCCACTGATTTCCCTTTTTGCTGACCACTGACAGGACACCAACATTTCTGAAGGAGAGGCATATGTTTCAAATTCATAGACAGTTACATTGGGAATTACAACGTATTTTGCTTTACACCAGTAACAAATAATATGGGACCCATTTGTATATAATCAGCACTCTTGTTGGTGATAATGTAAAGTGAGCTCTTCAGCATTTACATTCAAATTACTTGCAACTGTTTCTTTTCTATCTCACAATACAGTAAAGTACCACTAGACAAGAGCTGCAGTTGGAAATAAGGCAAATTAGTGTTTTAGGAACTGCTTGTAAATTCTCTTAATCATAGAGTTTGCTTTTTATGTTTTGGTTTCATAAAAAAGAACAACAGTATACAGTATGTTATAAAACATACAATATGATAGAAAATTCCCAAAACATAACAAAGAACTCCTTAAATGTATTTAATTAAATAAGATATTGTGCATCACAGCACCATGTGCTTTCTAAAGACGTATTTGAACTAGTGGCGGCATGATAGCACAGTATCATTGCTGCCTCACAGCTCTGGGACCCTGCTTGTATTTGTATGTTCTCCCTGTGTTTGCATGGGTTTCCTCCAGGTCCTCTGATTTCTTCTCACTGTCTTAAAACATTGTACTATATTGATGGGTTAATTGGCTTCCCAAAAATTGGCCTTGGTGTGATTTTGTACATGTCTGTGTCTATGTGTACCTTCCAATGGACTTCCTGGGAGAATACTGCTTTGTGCTCGCCCACTGCTTGCCAGGATGGGCTTTGGCTCCCCTGTGACCTTGTATTGGAAAAAGTGGTTAGAAAATAGATGGATGGATGCTTGAACTAATGAAAAGGAGTCCTTTGTAAAATGTGTACACCTGTCTGTATTGTAATCTAAGTGCCAATGGAATTTAATGCAGACACACAGGTGGTAAAAGACTAAATTGAACAGCTGAAAATATCATTAGATGAACATGGAAGGTGAAATCTCATATCACTGCACGATAATGTATACTGTGAGCTTCATCTCTTTAGACTGATTGAGTTAGTGTCACGACACTGTAAGGAGGTGTAAAATGAAGTTTACTTTGAAGTTAAGGTGAATTTGATTTTAATATTTTAGTTGGTTTTAGTTCTGAGTTTTAACATTGCATAATAGATATACTGAGAGACTTCAAAAATAATATATATATATTTAGAATCAATTGCATTTGTTGCATTTTAAAGCTTTTTAGTGCATTTGTATCTTTGCAACAAAAATGGTATGCATTTAACTACAACACCATTTTAGAAATTTGTTTAGTTTGATTATAATTTCTGTAAAAATACTATTCACTGAAAGAAAGTAATTATTTTCTAATTACTTTATGTACATACTGTACACTGTAATTCAAACCAGAAACCCTGAAAAATGGAGCTACTGTAGCTTAAATACAAACAATATCAGCCTTCACGCAAACCAATTGTTCCCTTTAAACCTCATAATCGTTTGATCCTCAGGCATAAAGGAGCACTTTGGTTTTACCATCTCATGTTACTATTGGTTTTTTAATATATTAATGCAATATGAATTTAGAAATTAAGGAAAGAAAGCCTAACCAGATCAAACTTTTTTATTCTTGTTTTGGGCTTCAGTCAATGACACAGATGATCTTGGCAACCTGTACATAGTCAACATCACCAGTCCGACCACATCAAAGTGGGTGGTCCAGGACCTGCAGACCCACAGCAAGTACAAGTTCTACCTGAGTGCCTGTACCAGAGCAGGGTGTGGCAAAGCAGTCACTGAGGAAACAGTAACCTTCATGGAAACACGTAAGTGATGAATGAATGTGAAAGAGAGGGGAGAGAGTAGGGTCAGTGGTGTGTGCATGTGTATGGGGTCAGGGATTTAAACTCTGCCAAGCTGTTCAGATTATCATCACTGTACCTTTTTATTCATAGACATCTCATAAAGGGAGTGTGTTTGTGGTTCCTTTATCTTTTAATGAAAGTACACATTCATGGATTTGAAAGCAAAAACAAAATTCCAAAGTACTTGGAATCTAGAACACAATACAGTGTTATTTTAAAATACTTATAATTCTGTGCCATAACGTATACAGGCTCTCTCCCTCTACAACACCCTGTTATTTTTCTTTTGTTCATCCTTCTTTTGGTCTTTTTTTTCAAATAGGAGATGTCATTTTTTGTTATAAATGACACAACTTTAAATATGGTTTCTCTTGTTTATAATGTTTTACACATTTATTTTTTTACTTAAGTAGCTCTTCCTTAAAATACAATAATGGCAATATCTTAGCATCTTGACTGAATGCAGTCTTTTCTTTAAAGGCAGATAAAAATGAATACAAAACTTGTATTCATTTTTTAATAAAAAAATCATATTTGTAAAAGATCTCAAGGGATGTTTTACGTGTTTTACGTGTTGTGCAGTACTGTAATATTATTGATCTGCCAGCAAGCATGTTGTGAAAGAAGTGAAAACCTGCCCAGTAATACAATGCTTTGCACAAGGAAAAATAAATATAATATGGCATTTATAAGGAATTCTGTTTAGGTTTTTACATCCTCCATGTATTCAAACATACTGTTCTAGTATTTCTTTAGTTTAATTCAGAAAACAGTGCATGACATTAAAAATGACTGTTATTCTTTCTTGTGAAAATCATCGCAGTGCTATTAGCCTACAGTATATGCTTGAGAATACAGTATATCATTCTTCACTCTTTTCTTTCAAAAGATGTTACTTCACCTACGGAGGTGGCAGCTGATGTGATCTTCAGTATGTAGTTTTCAGATTCTTTACAATTAAAGTATAAAACAGCTACAACCTTTTTAACCTTTTTTTTAATTTCTGTTTTAATTATATCCACAGACATTATCCAGGGTTAGATATACTGTGTACATAAGCATCAGACAAAGCAAAAATCTAAGCCCCAAAGGTTATGAGAATGAATCTGATGTGGTTGTACAATTATATTTTTATATGCATATATTTCGAAGTCCTACTACTGGCACCATAAAGTCCATTAAAAATACTGTATTCATTCAAATTTAGGATGTCCTCCAATTTAAGATGCACCTTTAATTTATGATGAAAAAGTGTGTTCTAAATTTGAACGAATACTGCTATTCATTCAGAAACAGAAATGGGACTATTACATTGGATCTCTAAATTATTAATGTTTGAGTTATGAAATATGCCTGGTGGTATAATTAAAATAGAATATATCCATTAAATGTAGTCTAGGAATAACATAACAGTAGATAACATCCCAGATTTCTAGGCAACTTTTGTGTTTTTCTGGAATACAGGCCTCTGGTACAGTTCTGCTTTCGTCAGAGATGTCTTATCAAATTAAAAAAGGATACTGGCTTTACAGATCGTAATTAACACTAATCCAGGTCTACTTATTACTAATATCAGTAAAACAGTAATAACTGCTTTCTTACACGTTAAGACAATCAATTATTAAGAATCTTCATTGTGAATTAATTTTACAAATGATAGGTAGTGCAGTATAGTATATAAGCAGTAGTTTCTGATCATGTATTCACATGTGTGTTCAACTTGGTATGTCGCTGTTAATAGTTGTTCCAGGTTGACCATGCTTTCATTGGATTTAATTATAATGTCAAAGGTTTCTTTGACTTTATAATATGATTTAAAGGGATTTCAAATAATCCTTATTCAAGTGGTTGCCCCAAATTTAAAAAAAAACTGCTGACTTTAAGTGCATCTCTGATGAGTGGACTGTCATATTCCACTGGGATGATTAGCAAATGCTCTGATGTGTTCTGCTTTGACAGCAGAAATCACATAATCACTAGAAAACTGGACGGAACTGCAGGGAAAAATGCATGTACATTTTCTTCAAAAGAAAGCATACTGTATCTTACTTAGGACTGTTACCATTTTAATTTTTGAGATCCAACCCATATTTAATGAAATCTTAAATGTTTTGAGAATTTTGCCTTTTCATTTATTTACATTGTTGTTTTTTTGCTTCTTACATTATAAAGCTATTTATTTTTTATGTATTCTGCAAGAGAATATATTTTAATACAAACATACAGTCTATTTCAGAACTGTGTAGCAAATCCCAATAGCATTTGATAAATGCCCTTGAATTATATAGTGACAGTGTCTGTTGTTTCTCTTAAACATGTTTGATAATAAATATTAATAGTCAGTATTTCTGCCTTAAACATTTGTGGTTATACTGTATATTTTTGTTTTCTTAAACATAGTACAACACAAAATAACACATGAAGTATGGGAGCTTGCTGGCAAAAAGATGTTTTCTATGTGGGAAAATTAAAATAGCAGCTACACAGTTTCACCTTTTAACACATATTTATGTGTTTTTATTTTAAATTGGGAATACAATTATGAGGTTTCTTCCAGAACACAGCAGTCTAGACCTCCTGTACTGCCTGTATGCAGGTAACAGGTACTCTTATTTAATCTCCACTTAAACCATTGTGATTTTAAAAGGTCTGAGACACTATTTAAATTATGCTTTGTCATTGGAAGTTGTGTTGCTGAGTTACAGTAGGTTACATCTAGGAAAAGTGAGGTTACATCTCATAAAAGTAAAATGTGTCCTATGTGACTAAGCTACTATAAGTTTTCACATATTAGAGACATTAATTGTAATAATAATATGTCATTTGCTACATGTCACATACAGTAAGAGCTCAAGATATTTTATTCAGTATATTGAAATGCATGGTCATACATCTAATTTAATTTTAATCTCACAACAAATCTCGATGTTCACCCTGTAAATTCATTTTCGGTGAGGACAGCCCTTGAACATACTGTGCATTTGAAAAAGTTAAAATATTCAAAAATACTTACTGACTTTGCTTTAGTCTCATAATTGCTCAAATGTAATTGTGCCAAATGCCCATACAGGAAATTAAGTTATTTGACATTGTGTATGCTTGGCTAGAACACATGTCCTCTTTTTCAAATCCGGTATTAATTTTAGTGTAATAACACAAAGAGACATAATAGAATATAAGCCATCAGTGATAAGATTCTAACTCTTGTAGGGAAAAGAAAAAAACTGAAACAACTATAAAAAATTGTATAATGTACCTGTATTTTTCCCCTGTACTGTACTGGGAATGTATTGTAACTTTTCTTGAAATACATACAGTATTATGTATAAATCTTCTGTGCAAATAAGAAACTTTCTAAAACTTGTATTTATGTACCTAACCTTAAATATTTTGTATTCAAATTGAATGTACCTTGCTGATTTTTTTTTTCTCTAGAATACACTAAGTTGTGTGTTTATCCATGCTTATTAGATACTGTAGATACATTGTGTGGTTGTTAATGATGCTGGTAACACTAACCAATTGAATTAGGAATGGATTTCCATTGGTTCTGACTTTTTGCCATTTCTGTTGTCAAGTCATTCATCTGTGTATGATGCTCAACATATATCTTTCTTTTTTTCAGGGCAGCCCACCACTCTTTCTAGTCCAAGCACTGCTCTTTCCCCTGTTGCCAATGTCACCCTTTCTTCCATAGGTATAAAATACATTCCAAAATTCTACTTACCTATTACAGTTATGCAGCACTTCCACCAGTTTCTCTGTCAAATTGCTTAATCATTTTTGACAAATGATTGAGCACACACATACAGTAAATGTGTGTATGATCCCAGATTTTTAGCTTATGTAATAAACATAATAATTATCATGATTCTATGCATAGTAAATAGTACATTCCCGTGTCAATGCATGTAAAAGAACATTTATTAAGTAATTTTAAACTGTATTGTTTTATAAATAATGGATCACATGCATCTGAAATGTCTGAAATGAACTGAGCAAATATACAGTACATTTAATATCTTTATGATGGGTTGAATCTCTTTACCACATACTATAAATGTGGTTTGTGTTAAGAACTGCACTGTTGTTAGATTTTACTTATCCAAACTCACAAGGTTGTGTCAAAAAAGTAAATACCAGCAAAGAAATAATCCAAGACTCCATTTGCCATTTAGATAAAAGGCCAGTTTTTAATCTGTACATTATATTTTCAAGTGGTATAAAGTGACATTGAAGAACGTGCTCTGTGGAAATCCCATCCTGTTCAGACTACACCACATTTAAATGTGGGCTGCTGAAAGCTGTGCATTGGAATATTTTAGTAGTTTCAATTCTCCTATTAGTCAGATTTCTCACACTAGACACTAACATCTTTCATGATGTCGCTTCTTGATAGTGCAACCTGCTGTGCCAGCAGCTGCTTTCAGCAGGATTTAATATCAGTGAGTGCTGGAAGATGATAAACACTTGCTGTGATGGATATTTTTAGTTTTGGTCCTGTATCATAGTTTTGTGTACTTTCTAACTCCCATTTGAAACCTATGATGAGTTTAATTACGAATGTTACAGCACCACAAGCTTGTCATTTGTAAATACAGTACATGCATTAACTGATTCTGATTCTGATGTATTTCCTTTTGTCTTTCTGCAGTAGTTGTAGTATTGACAGAGGGGTGTTTGTGTCAATTACACAGAAATGTTTTTATATGTTTTATACTGCATTGGTCATTAGATGTATACATTTATATTGCTAATATTCAAATGATTTATATCCATAAATGTTAGACATCTATGGATGCTGATGCTTTTAGGCACCCACATTAAAGTTATCATACATTTATATTTGGCTAAATAAGAAGTTCAATATGTCTTGCAGCTCACCATCATTTGATACACAATTTTAACCATTATGGTTTGGCATTTTAAAAATTCTTTGAACACTGTTTCAAGCATTATATTTGCATTCTTTTTGGCTTGGCAGACTTTTTTCATATAGTTGTTCTGAATGAATACTTATGTTTATAAATTAACTTTAAGGGTATTCTTGAAAATGTTAAAGTTCTTTGTCTTATTGTACAAGAACTATAAGAAATACAGTCATTATGTTTATACTATATGTTTATCCAGTATACTTGGCAGTGGTGAAATAAACTAAACTAAGAAAGCAGTAGAAATCAGCTGCGTTGAACTATTTCTAACTAGTTTTTTAATGGTTGATTAGACTGCATGCCAGTGTTTGGGAAGGAGTTCTGAAACAACCGTTTAAGCCTGCGCTCAATATGGGAGCAAAGTTTAAGAAAATATAATAAGGTACAGTGCTGCTTTCTGACTCATCCAGTCAAGTCCTTCACTCCAAGTGTAGGCTGTGCCAAGAGGGTCAGGCTGCATTTCACTGCTTGTACCTCACTCAGGGCATGGGCTGTGACTGTGAGACTTCACTCACTGTACCACATGTGACATTGTTACCTCAGGGAGCCAGACAACTAAGAAAAGCACAAAAGGATAGTAAAGCTGTTTTTAACTGACACAGGAAACTAGTTTTTGTAATAAGGCAATCTATACAAATACATTTCCTCTGGATGCTAATTTGAAATGTTTCCATTCTACAATTTCTTATACACGTTTAGTTAATTAAATGTACTTAATGTAATAACTTGTGTACTTGCGAGAGCTGTCAGTTGCATGGTATACCCAAGAGATATGATGAATGAGCTGTAATGTAGTGCATTTATCACCGAATTTCTTTATTAGTCACAAGGTAGTATCATACAGCATGTATGAGAGATCTGTAGGCTACACCTACAGTATAAACTTTTCATTTGTAACCTACAGTCTGGAGACTTCCGTTTTGAATTTGTGCTGTGTCAATAGCTGAATATGACCAGGACGTCTCAAGGGTGGTATACAATTGAATGAACCAGAGGATACACATACTGTATAAACTAGAGGGACATTAATTTAGAACTGAGGATAGAAGTCACCTTTTTGTAAAAGGGTTGTGGGAATCTGGAACAAACTACCTAGTCATGTTGCTGAAGCTGACAATCTAGCCTTTTTCAATAAGGCTGGGTGAGATCCTTGCATCGCTTAGAAAACAGCAACCATACAATCTAAATTGGCCAAATGCCTTCATCATCTTTGTAACATTCCTTTTGTTCTTAAAACTACAGTAAGTGTCAGGACCATACTGATTTAAGTCAACAAGGTTATTGTCACCTTGACACTCAACAGTGGCTCCCTTGACATGCCAGTTGCCTGTGACTTCAAAGTGTTTTCAGTTCTCTATCCATTGTTTAATTCTATTGTTTGTAAAATGCAACCCAAGAACATTAGACGTCTTTACGACCGAGGATAGTAAAGACTAAACATTTTTAGGGATAGCACATTTAAACATAAAATAGAGATTGCACTGTTTATTTCACGATTTATCATTATTAAAGTGAAGAAAGTGTCACCTACAGTGAATGCAATTGCACACAAATGAAAGGTTGGCACACTATTGATTTTTGTTCTCCCATTGAGCGTAAACTAAAGCGATTGTTTCAGAAAATGTTGAAATCTGGAGCTAATTCACATATATATTAGCCAGAGCAAAACTATCAAATCACTGTAATGGAATTCTTTGTGACTGTGGTTCCTGCTGTGCATTTCTTCTTATTTTAATATTTTAGGATTTAACAGTGTTTATTTACTGTTAACAATGCTGCACTAACACTCTCTGCTTCTTCTTTCTTTGCCTCTTCATTAGTTCCTGCCTTATTCAATATTAGCTCTTCTGTTAATGATACCTATGCCAAAATCAGCTGGATTTCTGGAAACGAACAGAAGGACTCAGAGTTTTATGTTGCATATATTAATAATCGTAAGCTATTCTTCTTGGTAATAATGAAAAGTATTGGATTTTATGTTTCTTTGTAAAGCAGCAACACTCCCATGTTTTGTAGTTTTTATATAAATTTTGAATACCTGTAAAAAAGAAAACTTTACATTTTATAAGTAAAAGGTCAAATATATGAAAAATAACACAAATCTGTTGCTGTAAATCCAGATGCAGATATATCAAATTGTACTAACCTGAGAAAACAACATATGCAAACTGACAACATGGCATGTCCCCAATACTGTAGGAGTAAATATATAAAATATATACAGTATTTAGTGACTTCTATTTAATATTCTAATATTTCTTTCACTTTAAATATTTAATTTGTATTTATGAATTAAAAAACTTACCGTATTTTGTTTAGGTTTTTAAAATGCACTTTGCTGATTTGAGACTATAGCCATTAAAATGTTACCCAGTGTGTTATTTTTAACATACTGGTGCTTGTTTTTTACTTTATCAGTCATTTTGAAGAAGCATATTTATGCAGCTACAGTAGATTAATTGTACAACCTGAAACAACTGTAACATGATTGCTAGTAGCTGTTTTACACTGAAAAATGACTGTGCATACCTGGAAAGTATTTTAGAATGTTAGGTACAGAGACAGTTTCAGTTTTAAAGGTTTGCCTTTTATGGTAGCCAAAGAATGGCATCGCCTCTCAGGCACTAACAATCATGTACTGTAGTACAGTATGTACTGTAGCACGTTGAAAACAGTACTACAGTACAGTATGTAGCTTAAAATCAGGCATTATTAATTTTTTCAATAAACATTTTACATGACACTGTTCATGTAATAAAAGGTCGGTAATAAAACTGTTTAGGTAATAAGAGGAAAATTCTTAACACGTATAAAACATGAAAAAAAGCATTTGAGTTTAATATGCCCAAATTTCAATCTTGAGATTTTCAGCAGGTGATGTTTTAATAAACACATTTAACTTCACCTAAAAGACCAGGTTACTGGCACTTCTGTTTTAAAATAGATTGATTGATACATTAAGGATGTTGTTTCAAATAGCAAAGTGTCATTTGTCCATTTTGTTCCTTAGTGGGGGGACCCAGAAATGTGATCTATGCATAATGACTGAATGAATTATGCACCTTTCATAGGTAAAGGTAACTGGAAGATTTCAGAAGCAGTTAATGCTTCAAAAAATTTCCACATCATTGAGGGGCTTGAGCCTGGATCTGAATACACAGTCCGCCTTTTGACTAAGAACTGGGTTGATAATGCTAGTATTTTTGAAGATGTTATCGAGACCAGAGGGAAAGGTGAGAAGTAAAGCTGCTGAAAAGTTTCAACTGGATTTCATGAATATCTAGACAGTGTACATATATACTGTATGTGATTCATAAAAAAACAGTTACTAATTATATCATTATGAAAATGAATGAACTATCATTGCTTGTTTTTTTTTATTATCACTGGGTTCCTAATGAATACAAACTAAAGAAAATATATTTATTTTAAATCTCATGCTTAAGTGCAAAGCAATACATACTTTTATGGCTCATTCAATGTATGTTAATATGTGTGTAGAAATAAATACAATCAATATAACATTAAGATAATGCTTGTGCTAAAATCATGTTGTAAAATGTAAAATATAATGTAAAATGCTGTTACACTGTTTATAAAGTGACTTTTTATATATCTTTTTTTATATATCTTTCACTTGTCTTACAGTAGTTCCCTTTTCTTTTTCCATGGCATTCCTATTGTGTTAATTATGATATTATATCTTTGTATCACAAATGTTGGCATATTTGAATTTTGACTATATTAGAAATAGGCAGTTTTTTTGCAATGCTAGTTAATTCAAAGGCAACATGAAATCTTTACGTTAAAACCAACAATGTCATAAAAAAACATTTTTTATGTAACCTTTGAAAAATTCTTGATTTACTTAACTCAATAACAATATGGTCAGCTATAAATTTTTACAGGCGAAAGGAGCTCCATTTTAATTTATCCACTTGCTATTAAATGCTGGTTTAATGCTCTGTAGGTTTAAAAGCTTTGCCTCATATTATGGAGGCATTTTAATGAGTTTACATCAGTTCTTAAATGTCACAACGAAAGTTATGGTTACCAGAATCTGATCATTTTGCATATTTGATCACACTTTAATAAGTGTCTTAAAAATAATGCTGGAGGAATAATTGTAGAATTTTATATTCTACAGGTTTTGCAGGCATTTATGAAGGGATTTCTACACAAGGATGGTTCATTGGGCTGATGTGCGCGGTAGCCCTTCTAACTCTAATAATGTTAATCGCATGTTTTGTGAAAAGAAATAAAGGAGGAAAATATTCAGGTAAGTTTGAACGGTTTCTTTTACAAAAAGAAGAATACCATTATTAACATTTTTGAGCTTATGTCATTGTAGCACATCTGAAATAGTGGCCAACGGCTTTGAAATGAGCAAGAGTAGAACTCGTGTTCATTTCACATTAATTATTTTGGGAGAAATGGTTTCAACACTATTTTTTGGCTGATAATTACTTAACATGAAAATTAAATTGAGTTATTTTCTACATTCTCTGCCTTTGTTGTTATATCTGCCATATTCTTCACAAGGTATTAAAATGTAAGGTAAAAACAAGATATTTGTGTTTAATATGCAGCTAGATCTTTCATTATTTTTGCATGACCTTGAAGTAATCTTAAAACATTATCAACACTTATTTTGACTCTTTTGTATTGTTGACACTGGTATTATGTCATTCAAGTCTTTAATATAATCATGTAATAAAATAAGACAGAACTGATAAAAAGAGATTTAAATAATGGATGATTCTGGTGAGCATTCTAGTGGCTATATTGTTAATTTTGAAAAACAAAATTGCATCTCAGTGTGATTAGGTTTCTTGTGAAAATGTTCTTCAAAGTAAGGTGGATAATTCACCAAATAATAAAAAGTAGTTATTTTAATTATTCCTGTTTTTGAGCAAAATGTATAAAAAACAGGTTTGCTTTATTGTGCAGTTTGTGAAGTACATTGCATTTCTGTTTCATGTTCGTGCACTTGATTTTGTCATCATTTTTCTCTAGTAATACAATTTTTTGGAAAATAAGCTATATACATTTATCTATCACAACTCTATGTATGAATTATGCATGCATGTGTGTTTAATTTACAGTCAAAGAAAAAGAAGACTTACATCCAGACATCGAATCCCAGGTTATGAATGATGATACTTTCTGTGAATACAGGTAAGAATTACATACATTTTACCCTTTTATGTGCCATTTTTCTAGACTTTGACAAGTGTTTCATTTTCTTTGCATAATACTGTTTTATTATTTCTTTTATTTTGAAAGCAAACCTTATATGCATGAATTTTATAAGGAACCTCACAGGCATCATTGATCAAGACACATTTTCAGCTGAGGCGCTGCTGAATGTAGGTGGTAAACAACAACTGATACCCAGGTATAGAAAGTTGTTGTTTAAATATCAGTTTTTAGAATGTGTCTGTTTTGTGCTTTGCAATCGGTGGATAGTGGTAGTTAAAGTCATTGGGGAAAAAAAAACATGCAAGTTAAAAAAAGCATTTTTAAAATTATTTCCAAAATTATGGCTGCCTAGATCACAGCAGATATGGCATCTGTACGATTGTAAACAGTGAACCTCTGGGGCAGTAATATCTGTTTTTATCTAACTCTGTGAGCTATTTACACAGCAACATGGAACAAAGAGCACAGCTGTGAATGCAAAGCACAGCATTACTGTTTTATCACAGCTGGTAAACCACATTTTCTCAGCTCAATTCCAAATATTTCAATACATTCTTACATAACTCAAAAGGTGTTACTCGTTTGCTGGAAAGTGTTTTGGTAACAAATAGAATTGACAACCAAGTTTGGTATATGGATACCAGATAGCTTCTGAAAGGTTCTCCTGAATAATTTTCTCATATGGATTTTTAGGAATGTGAGCAGGCTTTCTGTTTTCCTTAACTAAGCTACAAAACACAACTAAACTCAACAAGTTTTTCTTTAGAAGGCAAAATAGTAACAACATTTCAGTTATTATCCTTTGTTTTTCCCCAGCTTTGTAACTATGCAAAATAAAAGGCAAACAAATAACTACAGGACAGAAGACTTGCAGCTAATGGTGTTATTTAGCAGAGGTTAAGGAGGAGGTTTTCTAATATCACACCACCGCTCTCCACCATACCACCACTGCCCTACATACAGCTCTGCACTGATCTTTTGTAGCACTGGACATTTTGGTCTTATAGTGACATCTCTCACACTCTGCATTACTAAGAACTTAACATTATTGTGATCTCCTCTTCCAACCCAGAACTAGAGTCACTTTCTTGAATAAACAGCTGTTTAGTCTCAAATTCTCCATGTACAACAACCGGCTGTGCTCCAGCCATGGTATCTGCTATTTTCTTTTCTTTCAGTTCCATTAATGTCATCAGCCCTCCCTGGAACTCTAAACATCCATTGCAGCTTTGTCACGCTTTACCCTTCTCTCTTTTTTCTGCTCGTTCGGCTGGCCCTCTCCCCCTGTTTATGGTCCCGGCTTGTATTAATTGTTTAACCTTTTCCCTTTCTCCAATCCTTCTTTTTGCTGTCCCTGTAGGACCCTCCCCAGTCTTTAACTCTTAGTTTACCCTATGGGTGTCAGTTTGCACAGGGTTTGGGTCTCCTTGTTCATAGCCTTCACTGTCCTTGGCTGCTACAGGAATTGGTCCTCCCCTCCCTTGGTTCCCAACTGTTGTAATGTCAGCCCTCAACCTTTTCCCTTCCCAAAGTTTCCATCCACAAATATAGCTGATATCTGTTTTTCTTTTGGACGTTCAACTTCGAACGAATCCTCATACAGTACATTCAGTCCTAGCAAACTTCAGCAAGCAGTAACAGTGTACCCACCATGCTTTATTCCATGCTACGTGTGTGTTTTCCTTGGTTCCTGAGAAACTTTGCAGCTGAACCAGCTCATCCGTAGCTCTGTTAGAAGAAATATGCATTGGTGTTCTTTGGGGTTTCAACATTAATAAAATAATGATATGTTTTGAGGCATCCCAAACAATCTATGTCTACACTTTTAAAAGTGAAAAAATGAATCTGGCAGCATTAGTGTGTATGTGGACCTCAATAGGTACAAAGGAAGTAAAGGTTTATTCCATGCTGAAAAGCAAGAAAGGAAACACAACGGTTAGACACCAAACAAGGCTCCACAGCCGAAACGTCATGTTTTCCTTTCTTCTCTTTTCAGCTTGGAATAAACCTTTACTTGTTCCTTTGTACCTATTGAGGTCCACCACTTTTACATTTCCTTCTCCTAGCCAGAAACTTGGTTCATTAGTGGGTATGGCCAATATATCATTTAAATTTTGGTCTTCAGTGGGAGGTCTACCTTGAAGCTTGTCTGATCTCTAGGGTCTGAATTTTTCACAATCAATGGGATCAAAACATTTGCTGTTAAAGCACTTATTTAGTGCCTCAGCTATTAAAGAGACAATGGAGTTAGCTCCAGAATCCCAAATTCTGGGATTGGGTCAAATCCTAATAATCAAATTCTAATAATGATTAAACAAACGTGCTTAATACTATACATTTACATATGTCAGTGCTGGGCAAACATCAGACACTCCTCCAAGTTAGAAGGTATGAAACTAGTAGAATTGGATTGGAGCATTGAAGATTCTGATCAACTGGAAGACTATAGTAGTTTAATGTGGAAACAGGAAGAGAGCTACCAGTTAGCAGGTACTACAGATGCAGCCATTCAAAACAAGTGGGGTATGCTGCAGTATAACACGGTGGGCATGTTGCAGTATACCGCATCATACCGTATGAAAATTAGATTATGTAAATAGTTTCCGGAATCACCTTGTAAAACTGCCAGGTGGAGCTAATAAAGGTTAACTTCTCCTGTACAGCATTTGAGCTGTCACCAGAAAATGTCGGTTTCGAATCCTGATCACTGCTGAGGGACAATCTTTATTCAATTAAGAATTTAAGTTGTATACTCTTTAGACTTTTAAATTTAAACAGTGTATTACAGCATGTTAATCATTAAACATTAAAAAGGTGGTATATTTTATA